AAATAGCCAAAGCAATCCTGAGAAAAAAAGAAAAGTCATAAATACCACACTCTTTGACTTCAAATTATACCACAGAGCCACAATAATCAAAGCAGCATAGTATTGGAAGGAAAACACACCAATGGGACAGAATTAAGAACCCAGAAATAAACTCACACATATGTGGACAACTACTTTTTGACCAAGGAGCCAAAACATACAATAGGAAAAGGAAAAGCTTTTTCAATATAAGGTGGTGAAAAAATTGGAAAGTCACATACGAAAGAATGAAACTAGACTGCTGATGCCATACACAAAAATTAACTCAAAATGGATTAAAATCTTGAATGTAAGACCTAAAACAATAAAATACATAGAAGGAAACAGGCACTAAATTTATGGCCTGGTCTCACAGGGGTTTTTGTGAACTTGACCCCAAATGCAAAAGAAAGAAAAGCAAAAATAAAATAATGAGACTATATCAAACTAAAAATCTTCACAGCATATCAAAACAAAAAGGGGGAAGATATTTGCAAATGATACCTCTGATAAGGGGCTAATATCCAAAACATATAAGTAACTCATACAGTTCAAAAAACAATCCAATTAAAAAATGAGCAAAGGACCCGAATAGACACTTCTCCAAAGATGATACACAGATAGCCAATAGACATATGAAAAGATGCTCAATATCACTAATCATAAGAGAAGTACACTTTAAAACCACAATGAAATACCACCTCACACCTGTCAGAATAGCTATCAATAAATCAAGTGCCATCAAGGATGTGGAGAAGGGAACCTTCATACACTGCTGATGGGAAAATAAATTGGTGCAGCCTATACGAAAAACAGTATGGAGATTCCTCAAAAAATTAAGAACAGGATTACCATACAAACCTACAATCCCTCTCCTGAGTGTCTGCCCTCCAAAATTGAAAACATTTATTTGTAAAGATATGTGTATGCCTATGTTGATGGCACATTATTCACAATAACCAAGACATAGACACTACCTAACTGTCCTTTGACAGATGATTGGATAAAGATGATGTGATACGTACATTCAGTGAAATACTACTCAGCCATAAAAAATGATGAAATAATACTATTTCAATGGATGGATCTTGAGAGTATCATGCTAAGTGAAATAAGTCATATGTAAAGGGACAAGAACCCTATGCTTTGACTCATGTGGGATCTAAAACAAAGCAACAAGTGAACAAATAAAAGAAGCTCATAGAAACAAATAACATATAGTCATTACAAGGAGTAAGGGAGGGTGAGGGAAAGATGAAGAGGATAAAGAGGGTCAAATGTACGATGATGGAAGGGAACTAGACAGTGGGTGGTGAGCACACAATGCAATATACAGATGTATTATAGAATTGTATACCTGAAATGTATACAATGTTATCAAACATTGTTACCCATGATAAATTTATTAAAGGAAAAAGCATGTATTAAATGTCTGACTGCATTTAGTGTGATGTAAGATGTAAAAAGCCTCTTGGCTACATATAGTGCTGCCTCCCGGCAGCTCACAGCAAACTCACAGAAATCCCCAAGAAATGTGGAAGGTGTATGAAGATAGAAGATTGAAACTGTTAAACTCTTGTTTGCCTTCAACAAATAATGTCTACATATTCCATGACATTCTGTTAGGCTTTAGTAAATTTTCAGTGGAGATAATGGAGAATGTTAAGTCCATTAGTGAGTGTTGGTGATGCAGTTTGCTAAGAAATCATTGACTTTTAGAGCTGGAAAATAAAAGGATTCTCAGAGTATGGTCCCTGGAACAGCAGCTTGGTATCTCTGTGTTAAAAATGCAACTTTTCTTGCCCCTACTGAATTAGAAACTAGCAGGGAGCCAACCTGATGATTCTGATGCAAACCATTGATTTAGTCAATCCATTGCTTTAAAGAGAAGCAAACTGAGGCACAGAGAGAGCAGCTATGTCACAGCTCATTGAAGTTTTCTATCAAACCCAAGCAAGTGACTAGAGGACTGGTGAGTGTGGTGAATATGCAAAGAATAGAAACCATATCTCATGTGCTATTGTATCTTTGTCAGGGTGTAGTGTGGTAAGCATATAGTAGATGATTACAAGAATAGGTTGAAATTTTTAAATGTATCTGGAAAGATTTCACCAAAAAAGTGGAACTTAGATTTTGGAATTCAGCTTCACCAAAAATGTTAAGGGTTGTAATTCATTTTTATCACAGCAAACTTTAGTTTGTTGCTCTGCCATATGTCCTAACTCCTTGTCTCCAAAATGCACTACATGATTATTTCCTTAGGATAAATGTCCTATTTTAGTGTATCCTACTGATTATAAAATGACCCGCTCTAAATTTTCATTTACACGTTTTGTAAGTGAATCCACTGAGCAGTTCCTCCTCCTTGAAACTGCCCTCAGCTCCTGTGACTCTACTCTTGGATTTCCTTCTAGTAATTTCTGACTACTTCTTAGTCTCTTGTAGCATCCTCTCCCTCTGCCCACATCTTTGATATTGGGCTTGTCCAAGATTCCATCTTGGACCCCATTTTCGGTGAATGATCATGCACTCCCCCAGATCTATCCTGAACAGCAGATTGCTTTATCCACCTCCAAACCGATCTATTTCCAGCACTCCCTTGTGCATTAAATTCCTTCAGTATCAACAGTGTAGTTGGGTTTTTTTTTTTTATTAATCTTCACCTTGAGGATATGTTTATTGATTTAGAGAGAGGAAGAGAGAGAGAAACATCAATCAGTTGCCTCCTGCATACACTCCAACTGGGTATCAAACACACAACCTAAGCATGTGCCCTGACCAGGAATCAAACTGGCAATCTTTTGGTGTAAAGGATGATGCTCCAACCAATGGAGCCACCTGGCCAGAGCTGTATTTTTGTTTTTAATTTCTAATAGCACATACTTTAGAAAAATAAGAAAATATGAAAAAGTTAACATCAAATACAGGAGAAGGGAGGCCAAAAGACACAAGACGCAATTGGCCAAATCTAGACCACGAGACATTCTACAAGACAAACGACTGGGTTTCTGCAACAAATTGCCCGGGGGCGGGGGGGGCACATTATAGATTTTAAACTTAAGAGTATGGTTCTTGTTTGAATCCTAACTGACTCAAAACAGCAATACAAAGAAATTTTTTAAACAGTGAAATTTAAGTATGGAATGGGTATTACATATGAAGGAACTATTACTAAGTTTTCAAAGTTGTAGTAATGACATTACGATTATGTAAAATGGAAAGGTTCATGTGTTATTAATGCATACTGGTGTATAAATGAAATAAGAATGACAAATGTTAGCAATTGCTGCTGGCTGTTTATTGTTTACTTTTATATATGTTTAAAACTTTTCATCATAAAAAGTTAAAATGAAAAGGCAGGTCAACTAAAAAAAAATAGGAATAAGAAAAAATATCCTACCATTCTGGGAATGCTTGTTTACAGAACCAAGGGGCTATCTGCTGAAAGTCCTTGACTCAAGCAATCAATCCTGGCAACAAATCTGGGTTTATCTCATGCACATGTCCTCTCTTTCTCTGCAGCATATATATGAAGCACTCAGATGGCTTCTCAGGGACAGGAAATCGCAGGGGTTTGTTTTCTTTGGCCAAGAGCGCTCTGACACTTAGCAGCACTGCTCTGCAATGAGACAGTTCCTCAGTCCCAGAGTCATCCACTGCTGACATCAAATTGCAACTTCAGCTAATGGTCAAGTTGCCTGTGTTCTGCTAGTATTAGTGATAAAGTACCTCAATACAAGTTTATATCAGTGGAAATCCCTGGCTAGACATTGGCTCTGTGCTTGCAGAGACCACTTTCACCTGTCAGAAATCTGTGACCCTGACCCCTAGAAAACACTAATGTTTAACTGAACTGAAACCCTTAGAGGAAAGGGGCCACAATAATTTGATTGCCACTTAGCATAGTAAAAAAATTGTGCTAAAATATTATAAAAACAAGTTTAAGGACTACTTCCTGAAGATAATAATAATCCTTTCTTAATCACTAGGAAAAGAAATATAGAAGAGAAAAAGTATAAAAATAATAGAAGCCCAAAGCATCTGGTCAAGGTAAAATTTTTTATTTCGTTCAGATCCTTGTTTAATATAGTACTTAAAAATGAACAAAAACCTATTCCCTACCCTTCTTTTTATCCTTCACCTAAACATTATCTTCAGTATCAGTGTGTATGCCAATTCTCAGATATCCACACACTGTAGAATGTTAGAAAGCTAGCAAACTTCACATCTGTAATTACTAAAGTCATGTCTGGGGCATGTTATTCACAGATCTCTATGTTTCCCTCTTTTGTCTAAAAGTGAAACTAGTAAACTTTGTCACTTACTTTTCAGTGTTGTTAATAATGAGTATTTCCTAATTTGAAGTCCCTACCCCTATCTTAGTGTGAAAATCAGTAAAACAAATAATGCTAAACTATTTTAAATTGGAGGAAGAGAGGCACCATGGAAACATAAGATATATATTGTTTCTTAAATTGATAAAAACATAAATTAAACATTTCTCTAAGAAATTCTGAGACCAAAGACCATAATAAAAGATGTAGGAGCTTGCTTCAAGAGAATATCATCCCCAGTCCATACCTGTCCTTACTACCTTTTTGTGTGCTCTTATGAGCTCCTTGACCATCTGAACAAAACATTTATTTCTTAATAACCAGTTCCAATAATTTGGCTTTCTCCCATCCTCACTTAGTATGCACTGGTATGGCTGCAGCAGCATGAAGTCAATTCCTAGAGGTCACAAAATAAGATTTTGACGTGAGGGGATGTCCCTCATTTACAGTTCCCTTCTGGATAAGATACTAGAGCCCTCATTGTAGGGAATTCTTGAGTGAAAACAATAGGAGGATGAGGGATTGTGAGTATTTTTTCCCTAAAGAAAAATATCAATAAAATAACCCTGTTGACAGTGTAAAGCAATGTTTCTATGTGGGGTCAAGGCCAGAGCAATGGACACCTTATCTTATTCATCCTTTTCCTCTGATAAAGCCCAACCAGTACTGAGAAGCCTTTCTTCATAAGACCTCAAGACTTTTTTAAAAAGTGCTCTGAAAAGGAAGGGGAAAAAGGAAAACTGAAGTTAAGAGAATTTTCCAGTCTGTTTCAGGTGGCTGATCCAGAAGGATGCCTCAGTTCCTGCTTCTCACCTGCCTCTTCATCACAATTACACCTGCGGCACCAATGGGTGAGTCTAGTGTTAAGGACGTGGCATACTGAACTTTTTGTTGTAGGAAATTGCTGTTATGTACAGATTATTAAGAGCTATGTTCCAGTATCTGAAATACTGGGTCTAGACTAGCGTAAGAAAAGTCATTGATAAGATGTGAAGATATATTTTCAGAGAATTTCTGTTTCATCGTCCTTTGAGCCTCCTGCTAGGGCAACCAAAATTTCCTTGAATCAGCCATATCCAGTGGCTTTCCACTAGCTAAGTGTTGCTTACAGTTTATGTAAAAGGAAGTCTAATCTCTTTATGTTGGAGGCACTTTTATAGTTACAACTTTAAGAGCAAAAGAGGTGATTTTTAGAGTTGAGAATAGAGTTTTTTCTTTAATGCTTTCAAGAGACTGATGGAAAGATATAGCTCCATGAAAGGCACAGATCTGGTAAATTAAACTTCTTAGTCTTGGCATCTGAAAACATGACTTTGTGCACAGACTGAGTGAATCTTAAACTGTCTCCCTCTTCAGGCTTGACACAAAACTGACCAAAAATGTAAAATTTCAATTCCAGCTACTAACAAATGTCTCTCTCCCTTTTCCAATAGAATTTAAGTTCTAATAGGAAGGGAATATGGGAGGAGGTTGAGACAGACAGAGCATTCCTTCTTGGCACATTTGAGTAGCTCAGCATTTCACAGACCCCGAGTCAGGACTTGCTCCAGCACCGTTAAGGATACACACTAAAAATAGGCTTGAGACCCTAAGGATATGAAAACTAAATGTAATGCGGTAAGCTGGATGAACTCCTGGAACAGAGCAAGACAGTGACGATAAAATGAAGAAAATCTAAATAAACTATGTACTTGAGTTAATAATAATGTATCAACACTAGTTCATTAATTGTGGCAAAGGTACCACATATGATGTATCATAATAGGGAAAACCAGGTGTGGGGTATGTGGGAACTCTTTGTACTATCTTCTCCATTATTCTCTAAGTCTAAAACTGTTTTTAATGGTCTACTTAAAAAAGATAAGCTTGAGCTAAGTTTAATCACCCCCGTACCTGCTGCCAAGAACTAACCAAGAGCCTGCTAAGGAAAAGCCATCCTCCCCTCAGCCCCGCTCCCTGCCCCGTTTTCTCGCCTTTCTTCCCCCCCTGCAGCGCCTCCTGTGCCTCCCAATCACACACCTTCGCCCTCCCCAGGTTTCCTTCCCGCTCCTGCTCTAGGACGAGCGACTCCGGGCCAGAAGAGAGATAAAAGGGTAATTCCGGGCACTGTAGTGAGGGACAGGGGAAGGCTTGCCCAGAGAAGAGCGGAAGGCAGGAGGTAGGGAAGGGGAAGGAGGAGAGGAGTGGAAGCCGGCAGCTGAGTGGGAGAGTAGCGAAGACAGGGACGGAGGGGAGGCTCTGGGCTCAGCCTGACGGGAAGGACGGCATCCGGGGCAGGATTCGGGAGAGTTGGGGACTCTGGCTCTAAATCCTGAGACAAAAGTGTAGGGGTGTTGACCGTACCCTTGGCCACCGCGCTTGGCCACCACGAGGTGCTGAGCCTGGGGTGCACAGAGGCCCAGTGTGAGGACCCTAGAGGGGTGGCCCTCAGGACAGCAGGTGGCAGGTGTCCTAGCAAAGGCGAGGAGTTTTCTGGTAGGCGGATGCCCTCCTGACCCTACCTTTGAAAGGAAACGACAGGGCTGCCCTCTTTGAAGCTCTCCCATCTGAGGCATATATGTATCAGTAATTTAGGATGTATATTATGCCGTATGCACAATACTGAATTTCGGCCTCCATGCTGAGAGGCTGAAAACAGCAATTAACAGATTATTAAAGGGTTGAATTACTGCCTTAAAAGAGGGTGGAGGTGAATGGATAGATTTAATGTTAGAAATATTGAGTGAATAGCTTTTTAAAAATATTATTTTATTTATTTTACAGGAATTAGTAGAAAAATTTTTCCTATTTGTGCCATAGCTCCCCTACAGCAGAGGAGGAAGTGAATTTTTAACAAACAACACAAGAAATGACAGTTAAATTTAAGGAAAAATGTTATAAATCTTGAAAGAGTTATTGAGGGAAATTTAGGAATTTCTGTAAAAGCCATTAAAAGTTGAGTACCTAACCATTTCTTATAAAATTAGAGCCAAGGAAAAGAACCAAACAAATATTTCTATGAATTTATAATCACCTGTGAAATTGCCCTGGAAACCCACAGCTGGAAGAGCAGATGAGGGTTTTCCCTTTTGACAGGAGAGTCTGTCTGAGGACATTTCTTCCCCTCAAGGGACATTGAGCTTTGATCTAGGGCATGGTTGTGATACCTTAGGGACATTCTAAAGGAGAGGGCTGCTCCTGCCAAGTGCAACGCTGCAAGTGTGTTATTTCCAGAAAGCGCCACATCCTACTTATTTCCTGTCCTGAGCTGTCACATGCTTGCTGGGGCCATGAGCATGAGGCTACACCCTCCTCTACATGAGGGTGAAATTTAGACAGTAAACTTGAATTTGAAGTGTAAATTGGAAAAATGCAAAATATTTTCTAGACAACTTACACTTTATGATCATGGCCCATTTACATTTATTTAGTGTGCATTATTTGCTCAGACTGAAATTCCTGCCCACAACATGTGTCAGCCTAATGTGAATTCCCTGCCTACAATGTCAGTTAGGTCAGCTTGGCGTGCGTTAAGAATGGTAGTACTCCCTGGCTAGTAGTGCTCCTTCCTAGAATTTCTTGGTTTCAAAGCTTCTTCATACAGACAATTTGCCCACATTAATTCAATGTTTTCCTGAAATTGAGAGAAGCAGTGAGAATATTGGGAATATTGATGCTTTAGTCATTAAAATGTTTTTGATGAGATATTTGTCCATGCAGAGTATACATTAAAATGCATGCCTGAAAAATTCTGCCCTATTATATATAGTGATGCCCTGGCTAATTGTGAATATACAAAGTTCATACTTTCAATAAGCTGATGGAACATATTCACTTTGAGACTTTTTGGTAGCCACTTGACAGTATTGTGTATATTTCACAACAGCTGACATGTACCAGAGGCCTCTTCCTTTTCAGTGGAATGAGTTTCACACATTCATTATCAAGCCAAACTCCCACTAGTGGAAAATTCCATCTATAATTTTGCTTACAAATGACCATCCAACTACCTTTTGAAAATTTCCAAGGATGAGCAGTTTACCACATAGTGTTACCTCTCTGTTACTAGATAGCTGAACAAAATACGCTTCTCCATAACAATTTGTTCTTGTTCCTGTAACTGAATACCTGATTCCTCTTCCACAAGCCCAGTCCAGATGTTTGAAAAGTGATATGCATATTCTTCAGTCTTCTTTACTCTAAAATGTAGTTCTCAGCTTCTTCCCAAGTAAATTACATTAGGCTTCCTTCTATGTCCAGTTGCCTTCCTCTGAATTCCAAGTTTATTCATTACTTCCATAAAGTATAGCCTCCAGGTGTGAACACAATATTTGAAATATTGTCTGACCAGAGCAGAGTCCAATGAGACTGAAACCCTAACCTCCCTTTTTCTGAACAGCTATCCTTCCATCAATTGATTACTAGGAATAACAAATTTAGCCCAAAGCTAACACTAAACCTTAGATAGATTTGAAATAATTTTGTAGAAGGCATTTATGAAACATGTTTAAGTCAACTTGCGGAATCTTAAACAGCTACTTTGGGGAACTTTAGATTATTTCTTTCTGAACCCCAGAAAGCTAAAATGCAAGGCCACGAAGATGGACTCAGGCTGTTGCCTCTGTAATGTGAAATATCACAAGGTGCCTGTGAGGTACTCTTTTCATTTTTAGCCCTAGATCCTTGTTCTGCTTACATCAGTCTGAATGAGCCCTGGAGGAACACCGACCACCAATTTGATGAGTCTCAAGGCCCACCTCTGTGTGACAACCATGTGGATGGGGAGTGGTACCGCTTCACAAGCATGGCGGGAGATGCCATGCCCACCTTTTGTATACCAGAAAACCACTGTGGAACCCATGCACCTGTCTGGCTCAATGGCAGCCACCCACTTGAAGACGATGGCATTGTGCAACGCCAGGCCTGTGCAAGCTTCAATGGGAACTGCTGCCTCTGGAACACCACCGTGGAGGTCAAGGCTTGCCCTGGAGGCTACTATGTGTATCATCTGACCAAGCCCAGTGTCTGCTTCCATGTCTACTGTGGTCGTGAGTATCTTCCCTGTGCTCTTTATCCTACCCCGCAAGGCCTCGAAGAAAAAGGTGCCATATGAAATTCAGCTGTGGTAGTATCCCAGAGTCTGAATAACATGGATTTAGAGCCACATGTACCTCTAGGTTGTAATTTTTGAGATCTCTTCTTAAATTTGTGAAAAATTCCTGGAGAATAGAAAGGGAAAGGAACTTTGACTTTTATCATTTCTGTTTGGTCTTCATTCCGTTCAAACAAAACATTAGAAAATGAGCCCAAAACACTAATTCAGAAGAACATAAGCACCTGTATGTCCATTGCAGCATTATTTACAATCACCAACATATGGAAGCAGTGCAAGTGCCCATCAGTAGATGAGTGGATAAAACAACTATGGGACATTTACACAATGGAATACTATTCATCTGTAAAAAAGTTTTACCCTTTGTGGCAGTATGGATGGAGCTGGAGAACATTATGCTAAGTGAAATAAGCCAGTCAGAGAAAGACAAATACCATATGATCTCACTCGTATGTGGAATCTAATGAACAAACTGAACTAACAAGTAAAATAGACTCACAGAGAGCAGGATGCCAGCTAAGTGGGGCAGTAGGTGGGGAGGTTGGGGTGAAGGGATGGGGCAAAAGGGAAAAAGGACTCACGGACGTGGACAACAACCTGGTGATTCAGGGGATGGGGGTGTAAGGGGACTAAATGCTAATGGGAAAAAATACAAAAAAAGTTTTTTTTAAAGAAAATGAAATGCTGATTTAGGTTACATAAGTAGTGCATTTCCAACCATTTTGAGTATGGAGGACTCCTTTTTAAAATATACATTAGACATCCATGTGATAGCATTGTGCTTAGTATCCATTGATTTTCTAAAAAACATGGGGAAAAGCTTCTTTAGGTTAATAATACTTTTAAATAAAATTTTGTGTTATCAATCCCTTCAAAATCTATATACATTTAAACAATAGAGTGCATAGGAAAGTAGGAGATAATGTTTACTTAATCTATAGCTCATGTTTGGTGAGGTTTTAGACTTGCAGAAACTCTATGGCCAACCAAGGACCTGTGGATCTGAAGTTGGGAATCATTAATCTAAATGACAAATATATCCCTGGGTTGTATCTCTTTCCATTGGGTCTATGTAATCCCTGAACAATGTGATTTCTTTTTCTTTTTAACTGTAGTTTAGATTCCACATATGAATGAGATCATGTGGTATTTGTCTTTCTCTGACTGGCTTGCTTCACTTAGCATAATGTTCTCCAGGTCCCTCCATGCTGTCACAAAGGGTAAAATTTTCTTTTTCACAGTCGAGTAGTGTTTCACTGTAGCAAGATTTCTCTTGATGTTGGCTAGAAGCTAGTACCCCATGATTGAATTCCTAAATGAGAGTGTCTCTGGTCCTAGCCCCTCACAGAAATCATCTTTACCCTTCCACAGATTTTTATGACATCTGCGATGAGGACTGCCATGACAGCTGCCTGGGTGCCAGCGAGTGCACGTGTGCTCCAGGAACCATGCTAGGCCCTGACAGGCAGACCTGCTTTGGTAAGAAACTAATCTAGAAGTAGAAACATGCTATTAAGATTAAAAGAACAAATCAAAAGCTTCCTGACTCAGAGCTCCATCGTTTTTCCACTTTGCGTCTCTGAACACCTGGAATGGTGTTTGTCTTTTTAGTTCCTATCTAAAGCTTCAAGCCAAATTTACATCATGTTTAGGCATAGTCTAGAATTGTGCTGTGCAACGCAGGAGTCCCTAGCTATGTGTGGTTATGGAGCTCTGGAAATATAACCAGTGTGACTGAAAATTTGAATTTGAATTTTATTTAATTTTAATTTAAAAACTGATGCTTGATTCAGTAATTGGAAAACTGAAAATGTTTGGGAAAACTTGAATAGCCAACTGTAAATTTTATGATCCCATACAGAAAAAATATTTCTCATGAAAATTTAGCATCCAAATTGAGACATGCTATATAAATATGACATACACACTGGATTTTAAAGACTAGTTTAAAAAAATAAAATATCTCAATAATTTTAAAATTGATTACATATTGAAATGAAATATAGGCATACTGGATTAAAATATGTTATTAAAATTAATTTTATCAATTTCTTTTTAAAAATTTTTAAATATTACTACTAAAAATTTTAAATTATTTGTGTGGCTTTCTTTGTATTTCTGTTGGATAGTTTGGGCCTAGAATTATCTAAGGACCTACTCCTACAGTTTCATGAATATAATTTTGGTTTCTCCGAGTAGCATGAAAGGGGAGTTAGATTACTTGCAGGAAATCCAGAGTTGTTTAATTGTATACATGTTCTGGTTCTGTTGTTTATAACTGGAAGAAAACAGAGTTGAAAAACCCAAGATTGAAGACAATCTCTTTCCCTTTAATATTGTGAATCTTTTTGTATTCAGATGGATGTAATAGATGCAAAATCTTACAGATGTAAAACAAGCCTAGTGAGAATGGGAAGCCTGCCCCACACCTTCTCAAGGAGAAGAGTAGCAGGTCAGATGGGATAGGGGATTAGAGTGAAAGGGATATAAATGGCTTCTTTTTTTGGCTAAATAATGGTAGGTTTTATTATAAAGTCAGGATATACTCCAGAGCTACCAGATTTGAGATTGAAGACTCCTCTATTTCAATATATCATAATAGGGCTATAGATAGGCCCCAGCTGCAATTCTGGCTCTGATAACAAACTGTGTGACCTTGAGCAAATTACACAACCTTTTTGAAACTTTTCTTAATATGTAAATTTAAGACACAAATAGGTCTTACTTCACGTGGTTATTTAGAAGATTTTTTTTTTTTATTGTTCAGATACATTGGTCTCCATTTTCCTGCCACCACTTTCCTTGTCCCACCCACCCCCACCTCCCTCCCTCAATCTTTCCTCACTTTGGCCTTGTTAATGGGTCCTTTATACATGTTCCCTGACTTGACCCTTCCCCTTCTTTTCCACATTACCCTCCTCCCTGCTTCCCTCTTCTTACTATTGGTTTGTTTTTTCTTTCAATGTTGCTGGTTATATTTTTCTTGCTTATTTGTTTTGTTGATTAGGTTCCACTTATAGGTGAGATCATATGGTGTTTGTCTTTCACTACCTGGCTTCTTTCACTTAGCATAATGCTCTCTAGTTCCATCCATGCTTTTGCAAAGGGTAGTAGCTCTTTCTTTCTTTCTGCTGCATAGTGTTCCATTGTGTATATGTACCATAGTTTTTTGATCCACTCATTTATTGATGGGCATTTAGGTTGCTTCCAGCACTTGACTATTGTAAATTGTGCTGCTATGAACATTGGGGTGCATAGGTTCTTTTTTTTTTCTTTTTTTGCAGAAATGTTGTTTTTTATTTTTAGCATTAAGTATGGCTATCAAAATTCATTCTTGTAAATTTCATTCACAATTCTCAAAAAATTATAACTTTCTGATTAATTTTACATCATTTAAGAGATACAGATAAGTATTACTGTTTCAATTTACATATGAGGAGACTAACATAGAAGTTGAATTCACATTTTCTCCCATACCTCAATAGAGCTCTTAAGAAACCCCGTACTATTGTGGGGCTTTTAGCTCACGTATTGCTGAGTACCTCTGTGAAACATTTTTCATTACCCAAGATAGATATTGTTTGAGAAGTGATAGAGAAAAAATCTTTGTGGGGATTGGGCTCTAAACAATGTTATATAGTCGATGGGACCTACTCAGAGAATTGTACAGTAAAGGTAGACTGGAACAAGTTCACTTCTTACGTCATTTCTACATAAAAAGCCAGATATAAAGCCAGATATATATTTGGTTCCAAGAAAACAAGATCATTTTTCCAAGGCCTCCTGATTCTATAACTTGGGAGGCCCAATAAAATCTTAGGAAGAATTCCTTCAACAAAACAAAAACTAACCAAGTAAAGGAATGAGGAAACAAAAAATAAACAGTTCTTTTTTATAGTAAACTGACAGACTAATTATTGCTGTATCCTAAAGAATGCATTGAAATTCAATTATTTCCTTTTTTATTTTTTATTATTTTTTGTTTTTTGGGGTTTTTTTGTTTTTAATTTTATTTTAATTTATTACATAGGTTCTTTTGAATTGGTGTTTTGGTATACATAGGATATAATCCCAGCAGTGGAATTGCTGAGTCAAAAGGCAGTTCCATTTTTAGCTTTTTGAGGAACTTCCAAACTGTTTTCCAAAATCTATTTTTGTCTCATATAAGTATTGCTACCCTGGCTTTTTTTTTTTTCCTGTCCATTTGCTTGGAATATGTTTTTCCAACACTTTACTTTCAATCTGTGTAGGCCCTTTCTTCTGAGGTGGATCTCTTGTACACAGCATATGTGTGGGTGATGTTTTCTAATCCACTCAGCTACCCTATGTCTTTTGATTGGAACATTTAATCCATTTACATTTAAAGTTATTATCGATAGATATTTATTCATTTTTTCCCTTTGTACCTCTGTCCCTCTCTTTTTCACTCTTTTTCTTCTTGTTCTTAAAGCAGTCCCTTTAGCATATCTTGTAATGCTGGTTTAGTGGAGGTGTATTCTTTTATCCTTCTTTTGTCTGGGAAACTTCTTTTTTCAGCTTCCATTTGAATTGAGAGCCTTGCTGGGTAGAGCAGTCTTGGTTGCAGGCCTTTGCTTTTCATGACTTGGAATGTTTCTTGCCATTCCCTCTGGCTTGTAGTGTTGTTGTTAAGAAGTCAGCTGCTAGCTGTATCGGGGCTCCCTTGTATGTTACTACCTATTTTGCCCTTGCTGCCTTGAGGATTCTTTGTCTTTGATATTTGCCATTTTAATGATGATGTGTCTTGGAGTGGGCCTCATTGGGTTTATCTTGAATGGGGCCCTCTGTGCTTCTGGTACTTGTATGACTTTTCTCTCCTCTAATTAGGGAAGTTTTTCATCATTACTTTTCTCAGCAGGTTCTCTATCCCTTGCTCCTCTTCTCCTTCTGGTATCCCAGTTTTATGGATATTATTATGTTTCAGGTTGTCCTGCATTTCCCTAAATTCCTCTTCATTCTTTTTTAATCTTTTTTCATGTTCTTGTTCTTTCTGCAAGTTTTTTTCTACCTTGTCCTTTAGCTCACTGATTTGATCCTCTACTTCTAGCTTGCTGTTGATTCCTTCTACTACGTTCTTCAATTCAGAAATTGTATTCATTTCCTCTTGGCTCATTTTGATTGTTTCTATGTCCTTTTTCATGCTGGTATAGTTTGCAGCAAGTTCTTCATAGTTTCCCTGTAGTTTTTGTAATTCTCTCTGAACTCACCGAGCTCATTGAGCTCTCTTAGAACCATTGTTTTGTACTCAATATCTGATCGTTTACTTGCCTCTACTTCATTTAGTTCTCTTTCTGAGGATTCCTCCTTTCCCTTCCATTGGAGGTTGTTTCTTTGTCTTCCCATTATTTGGGAGACTTTTTTTGTTTTGTTTTGCTTTTGCTTCTTAAATTGATCTGTCTTGACTTCCCAACTTTGTGTTATGAATTTTTATGGTAGGAGACCTGTGAGATTCAGTGGTGCAGTCTCCCTGATCTAAACTTGATGCTCTTTGGATGTCTTTTATGCCATTTATGTTGGCTCTCTGGAAGTAATTGGGTTTTGATTGTTGTTTGGTCGTTCCTTGGTGGGTCCTACCCTCCAGCTAATTGACTGAGGGTCACTCTGCCCGCCACATATTGTGTGTTTTTGTGCAGGTGCTGCCAGGACAAAACCACAAAGCCCAGGAAACAAACCCACATCTGCAAAAATAACTCTCCCCTGCAGTCCCACTATCAACAACAAATGAACCAGTACTAATAAAACTGTAAAGAGATTAATACTATTATAAGAAAGGAGAAAAATGAACTATTAGTATAAAATCTCATGACAATATGCACAAATTTTATGGACCCAGAGTGAACATTAAAAAGCTGTGTAGTAAAGAAAATATTACAAATCATGGAGAAGGCCACAGTGGAGTTTGTCTTGGTAGCCTCTAAGATTTACCGCTGTTTTTTCTTTCTGATCTGCCTCTGATGATGTCAGATGTCTGACCTTAGGCAGTCTGCTTGAGAATTCCAGGAATCTACTGTCTGTGGCTGTCTCATTCAGTATTAATCTAGTCACTCTGCACTCAGCAGTCAGACTTAGACACCACAGGGAAGAGCAGAGTCCCTCTTGGGGATGGGACTGTTGTTTCCTCTCACACTGCTGCTGCTCAGGGGAGTGGTCTGCCTGAGCCAGATGGCTGCTGCCATATGGGGGATGAGTCAGCACCAGGATCCCTCTGGCTATGCCCTCAGTTCTCTCCCCAAAGCCTCCTCCCCAGTCTCTCCTCAGGAGTCTCTAGCCCATGCTGCCCCCGCCTTTGCCAGAGACCAGGGTAAGTAGCTGCAAATACAAATGTATGCATTGGCCCTTTAAATGGCTCTTTGGGTCTCCAGCCACCCATCTCTGGCAGAGAGCAACCTTGCCGATTTTTGCAGCTAGCTGTTATCTGTGTACATTTTGCACTTTGGTGCTGTAGGCTGGGGATCCGCACT